GCTAAAAAAGTAGTTGGAGGTACGAAGACGACGACAATGACTGAACTGAATTAAAATCATCTCCTTTACTCTTTCAATATGGCTTGATCTCGTACAGCAATTGTATAGATCTTGGTGCCGATCGATTCAGAACGGGAAACCTAAACACAGAAAACTATGCAGAGGGACACTTGAACACTAAAATTTCTAAGCAGATATACTATTTGTCTCATCTCATTTTTTACTGCTTTTCTATTCGGCTAAATAGTATTAAACTATTAAAAAGTGAAACAGCCTGCCATACGTGCAAGTGTTAATAAATTTTTTTTTTAACCGGACCATGCTGCGACCACGGCACATTAAAACAAAAAATGAAATGGAGAAATGTATCTACGTTACAAACGCAAAAGCGTTAAGAGAACGAAACGAGATATTTTCCATCGCTGTCAATTTTTCTCTTGCATTTTCATGAGAGTCCGTGCCGCAACAAGTGAGGCTGCCAACTTCCACCAGATATGGATTATCATATATGAAGAACATGCATTGGGCGAGTTGGCAACGATTCAACTTCGTAATCGTAAGATGCCGAGTTCGCGTCTAAAGACGGGAACTTTTTTATCTTCATTTATTTTTGGTTTAATTCTTTTCAGCCCGGTGTTGCACGGCTCGCATGTGAGGGGGAAGTTCAAAAATAGTGCAGTCCTAACTAAACCACACGCGAAATAAAACAAGTGTAATTGTAGTAGTTTCCGTTTGCATATCCTTTGTACGCACAGAAATCATAATGCCTTTCCTTTTTCTTATATTCATTCACTCTATATTTGAAAACGCAGAGCGAACTGACACTCTCAAACTAGAAGAAAGAAATAAAAACGGCTAGCAGAAGCCGCGGGAATGTTTCAAGAGACTCGGTCGAGTCTCGCGCTAAGCACAGGCAACCCGCCGTACGGGGTACGGCCCGCCGAGACTCTTTACTCGAAGCATCTCTGGTACAAGAGAGACTGGTACGATGTAATATAATACAATATTTGTAGACTAATATAATCATATATTTAATGAATCTTAAGTTAACTAGGTTAACCAATAAGCAAAGTTAATCATTAAGAAAAAAAGAAAAAGGGATGAGAAGTGAGTTCCGAACTCGAGACTCTTGGACGTTAATCCAGCACCAAGCACGTGTGCTACCGAGCTATTGTGATATATAAATTGGAAACTTTATATTTCTGTAGTTACTCACGTTCGAGGGTTTGTTTAAAGTTTTATTTGCTCACTCTATTATTTACAAAGCTTCATATGGATATTAAGGGAATTAACATCAGCAGAATTTACTACCTCATTACTACGGTTTATGCGATATGCAGTAAGAATGGGTGGACAGAAGTCTTCCTATTTGAGTGTTCACCCGGTTTAAAATCGTGGATCTCGAGGAACACACGAATTCATTCGACCAATCAAAAACGTGGAACTAGTTCAAGAGTCTCTTTCAGGTGGCGCGTCGACGCGTCAAAATGCAACTCCAGATTCTCACGCGTAGTATTACTATATATACTCGACCAATCAAAAACGTGGAACTAGTTCAAGAGTCTCTTTCAGGTGGCGCGTCGACGCGTCAAAATGCAACTCCAGATTCTCACGCGTAGTATTACTATATATACTCGACCAATCAAAAACGTGGAACTAGTTCAAGAGTCTCTTTCAGGTGGCGCGTCGACGCGTCAAAATGCAACTCCAGATTCTCACGCGTAGTATTACTATATATACTCGACCAATCAAAAACGTGGAACTCCTTCGAGGGCCCTCCGCTAAGGTGGCGCGCTGAAACCAGAGTAAAATTGAGACCACCAAAAACAGGCCCCCTGGCAATCTCCCTACTCATCTCTGGTTTATGCATTGAATCGCGTCTAGGAAAACGGGCGTTAATCGCTTCTCATGTTCTTCAATGTGAATAAGCCTTGTGAGCTCTGAGTTTCTCTTTTAATCGTACGTGTCTTTTTCCGGTAAGTGTTATATGGATAACATAATTAAGAATTGTGCTTTCATATTAATCTGCGTAATCCTTAAAGTGCAACAAGGATTTATATTTCAAAACGCTTTCAAAACTTTTATTGATTGACAAAATTATATTTGGTGGGTGTAAAGTACTATTTAAGCTATATATTCAATCCGATATATTTGAGGGTATACTAACCTCATAACTTCAGAGAATGTTGTATTTTTGTTATATGTACACTTATATTTGTTGTGTTTCAGATAGGCAATAACGGTAAAAGATGGCAAAGTCTAAAAATCACACGAATCACAATCAAAGTAAGTGTTCAGAATCTATATGAACATAATTACTTGACATTACAGAAGTTAGGAATGCTTTCACCAATATTAGTTAAAATTTGATATACCCTGCACTGATTTCACATGACAATGAAACTTATTAATTACCATTTTCTTTTATGATTACCAATTTTTACAGATTGAGTGTTCTAAGTAAGCATTTTAGTCACATAATAGTATAATTTTTATTCTAAACTTCATTCAAAGTAAAATATTAACTACACATTCGCGTTTTAAAGCACTCAGCACCATGTGATGCCTCATAGTATAGTATAAAAAAATTCATTTTACAAAGTTTTTTTAAAATTAATTTAGAGCTTTTATACTATATATAAAAATTGTTTATGTCAACCATTTGATCTTGAAATAGGATTTTGGTACTTAATATATAATTACAATACTTCAGCTATTTATTTCTTACTTGTTGTAACCAACTTATCCTTAACACCTTTTGCTCCAGTATTCGCATCATGCTTATATTTTCAATTTATGTTCTATCATGGTCTATCATCATCTCTTTTCCTCTGTGACAGACTCTACAGATTAGTCTTTTCTTTCCCAGTATCTATTCTCCCTTTGTTTATTGCCACCTCTTCATCTTGCTATCAGTTTTTGCTTTCCTCTATTTCCTTGCTTCTTCAGGTACTGTGATAGATTTTTGTTTCTTATTATTTTATGTCTTTGGTTATATCATTATTCTTTGATTTTACTTACTTGTGCTTGTTCATGTATGTCCGAGTCCTCCATATTTAATCTTCTAGCCATGTTTATTCCTTCATTTGATAGTTTGTCCACATTTGCTGCTGCATACCCGCATCTGATTAATTAACTCTCTCTGTTACAGTTTTTATATTCAGCTTCTATGTTTCTTTTATGCACTTTTTCACTATATGCCTCCATTGTGCCTGCTTTGCTTTCTCTTCAAAATTCATTGCTGTCTCTCCTGCTGTAATCCTTATTTTATCCCGCTTTGTCCGATCCAATACTATATTGCTCGGAGTGCATCTATCGAGGCCTAGTGTTCATTACAAATATTTTGTTTGCATTTCTTTTCTAGTTCCATTTGCTCTCTGTATCCTCAGACTTTTGCTCCGCACATAATCTTAATAAACTCAAGAATGTTACGCCAAAATATACAATTATATTTAAATCTCAATATCATGAGAGAGAGTCAAGTTATAGAACATAGGGTATTATCCTAATGCAAAAGGACATCAGAAATCATATCAGAAATATTGTACCAGGAAATAATACAAAAAAATAGTTTTGAATATTCATTAACGTTCGTTTAATATTCGTTAAATGTCTACCAGCTCATAATGTTTAAGAATTTGAATATAATATGCCAACTATTAAAATGCTCTGATGGGGTCCAAACAATTAAATATAAAATAAGAAAGTGGCTCTCAAATATTAAGACTAGGAGAAGACAATTTTCATGAAATATCAAAAGTGAGTATTGAACGAAATTAGACAAAATTATTACAAGGTTAAGCTACATAACCCACACAACATTTGATATCCAGAAGATATTCTCAATATTTAAATTGATATCTATAAGATATCCAAAGTTCCCACTTGTGGATATTCTGTGGATATTTTGTAATTTCTCTGGAAATCCATACATTTTTTAAATACATGTATCAGAAACGATAATGCATATTAAATATAAAATTAGTAGATGACAAGGTCATTAAGTAGTTTGTTCTGCATTGACATATCTTTAGAAGAATGGAAGTCGTAACAAAAGAACCTTGCGTTCTAGTTAAACATCTTGTATTTCAATTTTTATGAAAGTTTTTCTGTTCGTTGGCACTAGCGGGATGTTATCGGATTGATTAATATTATAGATTTGTGGGTCCTTAATTGCTTACTCTCTGACCATTTATCCTTTCTTATTTCGTATTCCTTTCAGTGCCATGGAGCAACAAGTGTACCAACTGATTGATCTTATGTACTTAATAATGTGCTTGCTGAAACAATTTTTGTAGGAGGTGGCCATAGCCCAGGTAGTGGATTCACGACCGAAAGGTTCGGGATTCGCACCCAGCTCCCAAAATAAAATATGACACACTGCTAATGTAAGCATTATATAATTCTTTATTCACGAGACGCACACTTTGGAGTATGAGGCTCAATAATTTTTCTATGCCAATAAAAAAATCCTTAAATATCCAAAAGTGGGAACTTCGGGTATTCTACGGATATCTAGTGAATATTCACTTTGAATATCTGGGATATCTTACGAATATAAAATGCTGTGTGGGAAGCGATAGACAGCTATTCGACACAATAATTTGGTTACAAATCATAAAAGTTACGCAAAAAAATAAATCAGGTTAGAATTATCGGTAGAATTTAGGAATTAGTGGTTAGTCAAACCGGAGAGCCGGGACTACAAGTTAGCAATAATTTCTTATAAAAATTCCAAATTCTTACTATACATAAGAGAAGATTCCAGAAATACTAAATTATATATCGAAAAGCTCATTATTTCGCGATATAAAATGATGTTAAAATAACCTCTTTTAAAAATGAATAATTATGACCTTACGAAGTTTAGTTCTCAAGCTACGTTTATGTCAAAATAAAAAAAACTCACCCTGTATATACATATGTTGAATTCCTATATGTCTCACTTAAATATGTCAATACAATGAATACAAAATAAAAATGTGATTTTCCTTAACCAGTTAATTTTTGGCAGATTGTATAAATCTTATGCCTAACACGCAGTATAATCTTTAATGTCATTCTACAAATCTGATATATAACCCAAAAATAATTCCAACCAAATGTTATATTTACAGGTCGCAAGGCTCATCGCAACGGAATCAAAAAACCAAAGCGATACAGGCACGAATCTACTCTGGGTGTAAGTTTGACTTTATAAATTGGATGCTTGCATGTGAACCTAATGGCATAGGACTCAGTAGTCAGGCCATAGCTAGGTAAAAAAAAATTACACTCGTAGACTTCAGAAGATCATCCTGAATTCCTTGTTATGAAAATAACAAACTGTATATGGTCAATGTATTTAAAAATTCATGTTACATGTGTCTATATTTCATTTTTAACTCCTTATCTGTCAATGAATCGTTTCAAAGCAGACCGCTACTATTGATGACGCAGTTTGCGTTATGTAAAAAAAAAGTTATATCTACGTCAGAAATTCAAATGAGAATCTATATCCATACGTCCCTGTAGGTCACTAAATCCAAATTTGAAGCAAAAATTATTGAATTGAAAATGTCGGAAAAAGTATGCCACCGAAAATAATACTAAACCATTAAAATAAAAACGATTTTTGAGAGTTGTTAAATTCGAATTCTCGGCCGAAATTGTCAAGTTCTAATGAGAGTTAATTAAAACATTCCATATAAAGATTGATGTCGACTGGAAATCAATGTTGATATAACTTGAACGGTTTTTAAATAGATTTTCTAGTTGAACATTTCAATTTGAAATTGTAATTCAGAGAGTCCAAAGCGTCATATTGGATTCGACATTTTGAACTTAAAAAATTTCGAGTTCCGATTTAGATTCAGCTATTCAAAAATCTTTAAGAGAGTAATACTTTAATAACTTGCTAATCGAGATTACTAAGGGTCCAAGATCATTTATTTCGCTTGACAATTAAGGAATTAACATCACTCGTATTCTAATGTAATAACCTATAAAATATTTTTTTGTTTAGATGGACTTAAAGTTTCTTCGTAATCAACGTTTCGCGAAGAAACACAATCTAAAGCCAAAAGCCCAATTGAAGAAGGCAGCCGAACGCAAAGCAAGCCGCGATGCTAAAAAATGAATTGTAATATATAAGGTGCCAGACCTTTAGAATAGAAATTAAGATTTCTATTAAAATGCTTAAAAAATACATATATATATTATTTATTTTTCTTTTCATCTAATTTTGTTGTACTATCGTAACTACGTTATATGTTGTTAATCGGAGAACTTGAAAAATACTATTACGCCCGAAAGAGAATCTTTATTCATAGTTAACCTTTTTTTGCTATTTCATTTGCGGTAATGTTTAAGATTTATAGATCTACATTGAACCTTTATAATAATTACTATTCGTTTACGTATGGCGTTCGATAGTCATTATTTGCATTTCACTGACAAGACATCCTAGCTTAAATATTTTATTACATCATTTCTCAAAATGAGCTTCTGCAGACCTGTAAAACAGATTAAATTTATTCTGTCTGGGATTTACTTCTCGTAGATCAGAGAGAGTAACAATAATAATAAAAACAGACAATGTTGTATAATCATTATAAAAAAAAAAGTAAACATACTCAAGAAGGCTATAGTATAGATACAATTATAGATATACAGGTGTAGAGAGTTATAGGGTAGATGTACCATTTGTCGGCACTCCATTTTTTAATGCTAAATATTAAGATTTACGCTATTACCAGAGATGAATAGGGAGATTGCCAATGGGCCGATATTCTTGAAAGGATCAACCCGAGAGCGTAGATTCTGAGCAGGGTGGCGACCCGAAAGGAACCAGAAATCGAGAACGCTATCTGTATCGGTAACCGGAGCCGCCTTGGGACCGTGATTCGAAAAATCACGTCACACACTATTACGATTCCTTTTTGTTCACGTGATTCATATTTGTATATAATTATTACGATTCCCTATTATTAATAATAAAAGAAAAGACTTTAGTGCTGTTTGGTGAAAACATAAAGGCTAGTGTTTTAATATCCCGCTCATTCTCGCATCTCAGGCGTCGAATTTCTATTCGCTAGACAGTGACACGAACAACGCAACGGGAATAACAGCAAGGAGCTAACCAATCGAGTGGCTCGTAAGAGAATACACACGCTTTATAGTGCCACCCGGTATAATCCATGCATCTCACGAAGCTCACGAATATCACGCGTAGTATATCTATACATACTCGACCAATCAAAAACGTGGGTATGATTCAACGACCCTCCGCTCAGGTGGGGCGTTTACTCCAGAATAAATTTGGTTTCAAGAATATCGGCCCATTGGCAATCTCCCTACTCATCTCTCACAGTATCCTTACAGTATGCTTGTAATACCAGAGATGAATAGGGAGATTGCCAATCGGCCGATATTCTTGAAACCAATTTTATTTTGGAGTAAACGCGCCACTTGAGCGGAGAGCCGTCGAACCATACCCACGTTTTTGATTGGTCGAGTATATATAGATATACTACGTGATATTCGTGAGCTCCGTGAGACGCATGGATTATACCGGGTGGTACTGTAAAGCGTGTGTTTTCTATTGTCGACGCGTCACCTGGAAGGAGATGCCTCGAACCATACCCACGTTTTTGATTGGTCGAGTATATATAGATATACTACGTGATATTCGTGAGCTCCGTGAGACGCATGGATTATACCGGGTGGTACTGTAAAGCGTGTGTTTTCTATTGTCGACGCGTCACCTGGAAGGAGATGCCTCGAACCATACCCACGTTTTTGATTGGTCAAGCGTATGTATCAGACTACTCTAAGCAAACTCCAAACGTGTATAACAACTGAAATACAGTTTTCCCAATCTATATGTCACGGCAACTAAATATCATACGTGCATGGTAACGAGTCAACGTGCGAGAGTCTCGGGTTCGAGACCCGATTATTATTACTTTTTTTTATTCATGAACAATGCTTATTGAATCTATTAATTAACTTGGAATGTAGCAAATGCATGATTATATTATACTATATACATTTTATTATATTATATAGTCGTGTCTATTTTTATGCCGTTGATACGTTCCACAGAAAACAGCATATAAAAAATATAAGTAGAAGGAAGAACTCGGAATTTTCATTAATCTTCAAAACCGTATTAAAAAGCCACCTGCAAATGAATTTTACCCAATGAAATGCTATATGTAGACATATATTCCGCATATAAGGATCGCGAGGCACACAATGCATGGGTATGTCCAGGCTATTGACATATAGTGTGGACTATGCGATTCCTACTTTAGATCCTTTGAAAAAGTGTCTGCTCAAATAAACAAAGAGAAAATGAGGTGGCGGCCAATCGTTCTCCTTT